TTTTTTTTTTTTTTTTTTTTTTGCTATAGCTGCTTTCTTTTCTGAATAAACTTGTTCTGTCTTGTTATAGCAAAATCATTGAAAAAATTTAAATATTTTCTTTGGTAAGAACATTTTTCTTTATGAATTTCTATTTGTGCTTTAGTAAAAATCAGAATAACATAGAAACAATAATCAATTTTTCCATTTGTTAATAAAAGTACTTTTTTTTTTTCTTACTTTCAGTTATTGCTCAAATAATTTAAAAACAGAAGAAAAAAGTAAATGTTTCTGCTTCAACAGCAATTCATTTGTTTTTAAATTTGAAATAAAAAAATTTTGTTTTTTTTAATTTTAAAAGCAGTAAAGTAACTGTTGACAATAACTGTTGCTGAAACAGTTTAATAACTGATTTCGACAGCTACAGACAGTACCACAATAATATTCAAACTATTTAAATAATATATTCAACATAACGTTATTTGTTTCTTTCTGGAGAACAGATACATTGATTGACTGTACGAGGAATAACGATAAAGGAAAAATAAGAAGGTGAAAATTGAAGAGGAAACAATGAAGGATAAATGATGGTCAACAATTATCAAATCTTTTTTCTCTTACAGAACAACACGATTGTTGGCATTGCTGTTGCTGTTGCAATTGGTATCAAAGTTGTAAGCATTAAGTTCAAAAATTTTCTGAATCGCTATTTTGTGTGCTGTTCCAATTTTTTTGCCGTAAAATTTTGATGCAAAAAAAAAAAAAGAAAAAAGAAAGTTGTAATAAAAGAAACATGAAAACAAAATTTTTAACTGATCCTGGTTTATACTTGCGTAACATTTTTTTTTTTTGCTTATGAGTTTTGGTAAACCCACAGAAGTAAAAAGAGCAGAAAAAAAAAAAAAAGGAATAGTAAAGGAAAATGTTTTGACCAGCTCTCAACAGCACAGCTTTAACAAAGTTAAGAATAAACGAAAAAAAAAAAAAGAAAACAAGTTTTGGCGTTTCAGTCATTTAACTTCTGAAGGCCAAAAGAGCACATAAATGAACATTAATTTTTTGGCACTCTTTTTTTTTTTTTTGGTAACTGTGCCTGAAATATATGGTTTTATACAAATCTATCCGGTCAACGGCAATCACAAATGTTTGCTAAGATTCAATTATTTTGAACTGAATACAGTTGTTATTTTCGATGACATTACTCTTTAAGTTTGATTTATCTATTTAAAATTTCACTTTACT